GGTCCTGTTCTGAGTTCCAGCTCTGTGTGTCGAGGCATCCATGTGACATTTGGCACAGATGCTCTGTAGCTCAAGCCCGATGCGCATTGCTCTTCCTCAAATGTGCTTCATTTCCAGGTCTCCCCATCTTATGATGGGTGCACACAGGTATCCATTTGTTCAAGCCTTGGGGACGTCCTTGCCCCTTTCAGCCCCTCCCTCCCATACAAACGGTCTCCAAGCCAGGTCACATGTACCCTTGAAATATCTCCTGAGCCAGGCCTAGGCATCATTAAGTGACTTAAATGATGGAGTGTCCAGTTCATATTTTGAAACACCTATTTTAGATGTGGTTTCCTTTTGCTGCTCTGAACAGTGGCAATTTTCATGGGGTGGGAAGAGCTGGGGGAGGAGGAGGGAAAGGAGGGGAGGGATGGCTCCTTAAATTAGTCACTTCAGATGCTGTTAAGAAAGACCCAAAATAACAGTGACGCTAGAGTAGATGCTTCTTCTCACCCATGTGACAGTCCCGGTATGCCCAGGGCTGATACTGCGCTCCCTAAGGGGGCCTTGTGTCTTGCTGTTCTGAAGTCCCCAGAGTGTTGCTCTTGGCAGCACAGCCTCAGATGGTGACCACAGCTGTGTTCCAGCTAGTGGGAAAGGGGAGGAGAAAAGAGAGGGTATGCTCCCTCTCTTGAAGTGTATGACCCACACGTTGCACACATCAGTTCCTCTGGTATCCTATTAGCCAGAAGACGGTCACACGGACACACCTTTCCCCTGCAAGGCAGGCTGGGATCTGTAGTCTTTAGCTGAGCGGCCATGTGCCTAGTTAAAGATTCTACAGAAAAGGAAAGTAGGTAAAGGGGGAAACTGGTGGTTTCGGCTGCAATCATTTTGTACATTTCAATGTGAACTTCATGATAGTTAATTGGCTCTACCTCAGGGACTGTACACATTCAGTGCAGACCCCAACACGGGGCTCAATCCCACGAACCGTGAGATTGTGACTTGAGCAGAAATCAAGAATTGGAAGCTCAGCCAACTGAGCCACCCAGGTGCCTCCAGACAAGCATTTCTTTCATACATGGGAATGCGAAGTTTAGACGGGGGAAATCCTCTGTTAAAGACTGCACAGCGGTGACAGAGCTGAACCAGGATGCCAAACTCTGGACTCATTTTCTACTATTTCAAAAGGATCTGGATGAGAGGCACATAGGCAACGCCAGGAGGACAGGTCTCTTGGGGCTGGGGAGGAGCCTGTCTACCTGGGGATCTGCTCATCATTTTTCAGGACTCGCCTTTGAGTTATTATTTCTCTGAGGTGCTTTCTAGTAGCTCTTACAGTATCTTAAATAAGATACTATGTGGAAGTGCAGTGATTTACATGCACTTCCCTATTGGAATGCAGGCTCCTTGAGGACAGACACAGCTTAGTCCTCTCTCTGTCCCCAGACCTGGTAGGTCTGCCTCCCAGGTACTCAGTGAGTAGTTAAATGCACTACTGAATATACAAATGAATGTATATTTAACGAGTCCTTCAATTGCAGATAATAAAAACTTTGCTGAAACTAGCTTGAGTGAAAAAAGGATGGACTCAAGTATCTGGGCAGTCCATGTGTGCTTCAGGCATAGCTTGATCCAGGTGCTAAAGTGCTGTTTTCAGAGGCCCTGCCTCTGTGCTATGCTGGTTAGCACAGATTGACACTAGTTATTTGGTTTGACTCTTCTTGCCCTCTTGGTGGGAGGCATTGTCCAAGTGGCCCCTGCAGGGACTGGGAGGAGGCAGGGGGTTAAGAGAGTGTGGGATGGTCAAGTGTTTGGGGGACAGCACAGAAGTGGCATTTGCCTTAGACAATGATTTCTGATGACAAGTTTCTTTGATATGTAAGAATTTCCCAGAACATAGATTTGTAGAAGACTCCTGCATAACCTTTATCAATAGTGATTGAGGTAGGTGATTTAGATGCTTATCCTATGGGGAAGGAAGGTATCTTTAGCATCCAAGACAATGTTTTCATCATAAAAAGGGTGAAGTTACTTCTTTGTGAGCTGGGGTCAATAGCTTGTTCTTTTAAGGAGAAGTATTAAGAATAACAGGTCTTTCAGGAAACACAATGTTTGCTCCCATAATTACAAAAGAAGAAATTCCTCAATAGGTTCCTTCACAGGGTGCAATCAGCATATTCAAGGCCAGAATAAGTCACCCTGAATACTGATCACAAGATGCCTTGGGGGGCTGGTGCTCCAAGCAGAAACAATTGGGTGGGGGTGGATATCTGTCCTTAACTCTAAATTAGGCTCTTTGTCTCAGGGCCAGACTCAGTTGTAACTCTTGTGTTCTTAACCCCCGTTATTATCTAAGTCTTGGATCTGCAAGGCCCGTAGAAAGAGCCTTTTGACAGTCATCCACAATGCTTTCATCTAAAATCTCTTTTGAAAAGGCAGGAATATGCTTTTCCTTATGAGGAATCTGTGTAGGGAATATCACTCTGATTTGGAATATTGTGAGGCCTGGTCAATACCAGCAGGCTCATTTCTAGCATGAGCCAGTAGTAGCAGAAGGAGATACCAGTTTTGCTTCTCATGGCAGGAGCTGTGCAAATGCTGCCATCTCCTCGCTGTGACCGTCACCCAGCGAGGCCAGTGCGGCTCCCAGCAGTGTTCCTCTTGGGCATCTCTAGGTTTGGGGTGTCTTGTTTTTTGGTTTTGGCTTAAAGGGGGCACACCTTGGGTCATCTCTTGGGAACTCCCCTGTGGCCACACCTCTGCTGGGGTTGGATGAACTTGCTGTACCATCAGGCCGAGGGCGGTCTGGGCCCCTCAGTCCTGCTTCTCCAGGAAAGCCAAGGCACTCTGTGCTCTTTCCTGTCAGGGCCCCTCAGAGTTCCCACACTGGGCTGAGACTGGGATGAAGGAAGAGGAGGAGGGAGGCTGGCTGGTGACTCACAGGGAGGAGTAGCTGCTGACTCCGGCCAGTCCTGCCAGGGTATGAGAATTCCCCTTTGTAGAGGAGGTGGGCAGGGTGGTGCAAATGCAGCATGCGATCTGTGCGTCTCCATGAGGCTAGGGAGACAGGGGCAGCCCATCTCTCCCAATGGGCAGTGATTGGCTTTCTGTTCCCAGGCCAAGCTCCCATCCCCTGTGTGGCACCTTATCTCCGATATGCGTTTCTCCTTCCTGCCTTCAGTCCCTGAGGGCCCTGCTGTGGGGGTAGGAGCCTCTTTGTGGTGTGGAATTCTCAGGTCACCTTGGTTCTAGACTGTCAGGCTTTCCCCAAGGGTAAGCCTTGAGGGTGGGAACTTTCCCGGGTTCACAATCTAAGAAGGTAATCAAAGTGGGCTTGCCCACCCATGGAAAACTTCCCATTCTCCCTCTGGAGTGAAGGACAGCTTGGCCCTTGGGGAGCTCTGATAGGTCTGGCTAGGAGAGAGGTGCTCTCTGACCTCCCCTACCCAGAATGGCAGGCATTCCCAAGAGACCCTGGCTTACTGTCTGGACGCTTCATGAGAAAGGTCTGGAGTGACAGGCAGAGCAAAGTGGCTTTATTTCAGGGGTAAATGGGGAGCCATGGAAGGTTCTTGAGCACGGGCAAGGATGTGAGCAGATTCCTGTCTTAGGTCCTGAAAGCAGACGTCGTAGACAGTGAGGTTGGCAGGGAGCAGAGCAGAGATAGCAGGGCCAGTGAGGGAGGTCACGGGAGGGCCAGAGGAGCGCTGACCCCACGGGCCAGGGCAGGAGTGGCAGGCATAAGTGGAGAGGGAGGGGGAGAGGAGGTGGCCCCAGGCCCTGGTTCTTCCTTAGGGGTGGGGGTGGGGAGCAGTGCGGGAGGCTGCCGCCTGCTAGCTTTTCCTGTGGCCAGTGGTTGCCCTTGTGGGCAGGATGCAGTGCCCGCCAAGGGTGCCTTTATGAATGAGCAAGAAGGCTGCTGACTCAGCAGGCGGCGAGGCTTTGAGGCTGCTGGGTTTGGACCGGAAGTGTCTGGGAAGGAAGTGGCTGCTCAGGGCTTCCCCGAGGTGGACAGCTGGGTGGGGGGGCAGGATGCACCCGGTTTGGCCGAGGGACTCCCTCAGCCCAGCTGCCTGCTGTGTGCTGGGGGGAGGAGAGCCTGGCTGGGACTGAAAGGCCTGACGCCGGGTCCCTGTGACTGGAATGATGCTGATGGCTGTGAGACTTGCCCCTCGGGAGAGGCAGAGAGGTGTGGCCGAAGGCTGGGCACCCAGACCTCCTCGGCTGTGCCAACTGGCAAGTTCTATCGCACTAACAATGTCACCTCACGTGTATGGGCTTTATTTATTTATTTATTTTTCTCTTGCAAAATGGGGCCAAGTCAACTCGCCCCTCTCCCTGGGTGGTTGCGAGAATGTGAAATCGGTCGTGTTCCCGTTGAACAGTGATGGATGGCCTAAATCCACCCAGGTTATGTGGCTCAGTGGCACGTGGCGTGGACAGTGAGGCAGCAACTGTGGGACAGGTACAGCCTGCCCAAGTCAGACAGCGGGGCGGTGGGCTGAGGGGCAGCCAGGATTGGGAGCAGGCCTGGGCCCAGGGAGGCTGGGGGAGGGGGGTCCTGGCTCGGGTCTGTGGCCACAGACATACCTCTCACTCAGTCCTGACCCCAGCCTCTGAGGTCCACCCCAGGCCTGGCCTCTTCCATTTCTGATTGGTCTCGGTCACTCAATAGAAAGCGTCCAACTGGCAAATATCCTCTCTCTTGGGCCTCGTGCTCTCACACCAGCTGCCTCCTAGAACTCTCCCCTGGAAGTTTCCGCACAAACACGGCGAACTTCACACACCGTACACCGAACGCCTCCATGTTCTGTGTCAGCCACGTGTTCTGCCCCACCCGCTCACTGGACTCAAAGGTGTGGCTGCCTGACAGCTCCTGACCCTCTCCCCACACCCTCCAGTGCTGCTGTTTTCACCTAGACCTGCTTGATCTCTTCTCATTTATGCTGCAGATGCTATCAGAGTCATTTTTCTGAAGCACAGCTCTGACCATATCCTTTCTCCTGTTCCAGAACCTTCAGTGGCTCCCAGTGGCCTTCAGGATAAACTTCAGAACTCTCAGCTTATCTCTACGTCCAGCTCCAGCCTCAGCCCTTCCTCTCCCCACCAGCTGTTGTCTGGAGCCAAAGTGATCTGCGCACATTCTTGCCCTGGGCCGGCCAGCCTTGCCCCTACTTGCCACCTTGCCTGTCTTCCTGTTCATATCAACATCTTAGTTCTGGAAGGGTGGGTCCCAGCTGCCTCCATGTGCCCTAGTCTAGCCTCCCCAGTGACTCAGTGCCCTCTAGCCAGCATCTCTCAAAAAAAATCCCTCAAGTGGGGAGCCTTGTAGGGTGTGGAGGGAAGACTTGTCAGTGGGCAATTGAAGCCTTCCCTGAGCTGGTCAAGGGGGCGAGGGGGCGTGAGGTGAGGGAGGGCCTGGGGAGGACCGTCCACGACAAAGGCCTCGATTCTTCTTCCTTGCAGGCAGGGGCAGCCTTCCACTACGGAGAGCCCAGCTGTCAGCTGCTGCCTCTCGGGAAGATGCTGTGTCGCGGGGCCAGCACGGGTGTGGGTGCCCGTGTGCGTTTGGCCACAGCCCTGGCAGTGCTGTGGTTCTGCATCACAGGTGAGGGGAGCAGTGTGGGGACTGGAAGGGTGGGGGGAGGGCGCCCACCCCCACCAGGGCTCCTGCCAGGCCTCTGTCTGGGGAGGGTTTGGGCGAATCTCCCCTGTGCCCTGGCCACACTCCTTTCCATCCCTGGGATTCAACAGGTGACTTACTTTGCATTTGTCAGCCTCTGTCTCCTCTTCTGTAAACTGGTAATGTGAGCACTAACGTGTTTCTTGCACACACAGTGTGTGTTCCCTCCTGAGGGCCTCTGCACGTCCTGTTCCCTCTGCCTGGAACTTTCTGTCCCCAGACATTTGCACGACTTGATCCTTTATTTTGTTCAGGTCTTCGCTCCTATGTCACCTCCTCAGCAAAGCTTTCTTGGCTGCCTTGTATAAAATAGCATATCATCGGGGCGCCTGGGTGGCTCAGTCAGCTAAGCGGCCGACTTCAGCTCAGGTCATGATCTCACAGTTCGTGGGTTCGAGCCCTGCATCGGGCTCTCGCTGATGGCTCAGAGCTTGGAGCCTGCTTCTGATTCTGTGCGTCTTTCTCTCTCAGTCTCTGCACCTCCCCCACTCACACTGTGTCTCTCTCTCTCAAAAATAAACAGACATTAAAAATAAAATAAAATAGCACATCATCTCTCCCTGTCTTCGACTTTGCTTCTGCATGCTTCTAACCAGACTTCTCCTCCACCTGACATGTTATATGTTTCCGTGCTTACTGCCTGCTCTGCTCAAAGAGCAGGGTCTGTCCCCAGTGTCCGGATTGGTGCAGCCACACAGCTCAATTACCATGTTGAATAAATGATGTAAATCTTCCCATTCAGCTCTTGGCACGGAATCAGCATTCAACAATGGCATTACTTTTAATAACAACATCCTCACATTTGAAATCCTTAGCCTCTGGCGGAGGGAGAGGCTGCCTTCTTCCACCAAAGGGAAAGACAAAGCTGAGTGTCTCGTGCCACCTGCTGGCCATAAGTGGAAACACGCTCTAGTCCCGGCTGCTCTGATTTCTCTAGAGAAAGGGCTTTATCTGGGCCATTCCTCGGGTTTCGTCCCCATATGCCCCCTCACCTCCAGTTCACCGGCGGGCCCTGTTGGTTCTCCGCCATCGGTAAACCCTGAATCTGTCCCATGCTCTCCACCACCAGTGCCACCCTCTGGAGCTAAGCCAATATCACTTCTTACAAGGACCACTGAAATAGTCCATTCTGCACAGAGGAGCCAGAGGGAGTTGTAAGCATTGTTTGCCAGATTATGTCAGATTAACACCTCCCCTGGCACCCCGTGACTTCCCATTACGTGTAGCAAGCCGAAATTCTTTCGCGGTCTTCCAAAGCTCTTCCATCCAGACTCCTCTGCCACACTGGACAGCTGAGTGTGGGGATATTTTCTCGTGGGGAGCTGAATCTTGCCTCAGGGCCTCCCCACTCACTGTTCCCTCTAGCTGGAACACTCTTACAATGGCTCTTTTTTGTTTGTTTGTTTTGTTTATTTATTTTTGTGGGGGAGAGAAAGAGGGACAGACAGGTTGTGAGCAGGGGAAGGGCAGAAAGAGAGGGAAACAGAAGACCCCAAGCAGGCTCCACCCTGCCAGCCCAGAGCCAGACTTGGGGCTTGAACCCACAAACCATAAGATCATGACCTCAGCAGACTTAAAGGGTTGGATGCCCAACCCACTGAGTCACCCAGACGCCCTGACACTGGCCTTTTGTATGTGACGCTCTTTTTCATTTCCTTTAAATCTCAACTTAATATCCTTTTAGTGAGAGTGTGACTCACCAGCACCTTGAAAGGTATGGGCATTCTTTCTTTCATGTATAGAAGCTAATCATGTTTTTTTAGGGGAAAAAAAAAAAACAATGAAAAACTACCTGTTATCCTTTCTCATCCAGAGAAAACCACTATTAACATCTGATATACATTTTCCTTTCCGATTAATAAAGAAAATACATACTTATGAGAAAATGCGGCTAACACAGACAGGTGTAAAGTACCTGTCAAATTTTTGAAAAGCTAACATCTCTAATCCTTTGGCGGCTTTCATACTCCTAATCCCACGATAATGAGACTTTGTGTCTTACTTTGACCCTCTCTCCCATTAAAAGGTAAGCTCTGTAAGGGTGTGACCTTGGCCTTTTTCTCTGTTGCATTCCTAACCATTATGTTTGACAAATGGTAGGTGCTTACCATATAGTCTTGTTGACTGAATGAGGACCACAGATAATAAACTTACTTTGGGTCTCAAGCCTTAAAGGAGGGTTGGACCGGCCTGGGGTTAACCCGGAAGGGGAGGAGAGCTAGGGAGGCCCCCAGTGTCCACGCCCTCCCTCACTGCCCCACCCCACCGCCCCCAGGGCTGGCCCCCGGGGACACGCATTGTCAGGCCAAGGGCAAGCTGCTGTGGTTCTTGTCATAAGATTGGGGTGACTGCACGTCTGGGAATCTGGAAACTCAGTCTGCTTTTGGGTCTGGAAACAAAATGGGAAGATGGAACAGGAACTGGGAGTTAACAGAGGAGGAGGTCTGTGCGGCTGGGGGCTGGTAGCCCGACTTGTCCTCACCCTTCCTTACGGCCTATCCAACCTTGCCCCCAGGCGCCGTGGAGGTCCAGGTCCCCGAAGACCCCGTGGTGGCCCTGGTGGGCACCGACGCCACCCTGCGCTGCTCCTTCTCACCCGAGCCCGGCTTCAGCCTGGCGCAGCTCAACCTCATCTGGCAGCTGACGGACACCAAGCAGCTGGTGCACAGCTTCGCCGAGGGCCGGGACCAGGGCAGCGCCTATGCCAACCGCACGGCGCTCTTCCCCGACCTGCTGGCTCAGGGCAACGCGTCCCTGAGGCTGCAGCGAGTGCGCGTGGCCGACGAGGGCAGCTTCACCTGCTTTGTGAGCATCCGGGACTTCGGCAGCGCGGCAGTCAGCCTGCAGGTGGCGGGTGAGCGCCGGCAGGGGGCGCCCTCCCCTGGAGACACGCCTCCCTTCCCGCCGCCCCTCACCTCTTGGGCCATCGCTGAGCCCATGCGTAACTCCAGCCCCTTTACTGACCCGTGTTCCTCCAGGTGCCCTTTCCTCTCCTGTGACCCCCTCCCCCGTCCTTGCCTTACCTCGACCTCTGCCCTCTGCCCTCTGCCCCTCTCCAGCTCCCTACTCGAAGCCCAGCATGACCCTGGAGCCCAACAAGGACCTGCGGCCTGGGGACACGGTGACCATCACGTGCTCCAGCTACCGGGGCTACCCGGAGGCCGAGGTGTTCTGGCAGGACGGGCAGGGTGCGCCCCTGGCCGGCAGCGTGAACGTGACCACGTCGCAGATGGCCAACGAGCAGGGCTTGTTCGACGTGCGCAGCGTCCTGAGGGTGGTGCTGGGCGCCAACGGCACGTACAGCTGCCTGGTGCGCAACCCCGTGCTGCAGCAGGACGCTCGCGGCTCCGTCACCATCACGCCGCATAGAAGCCCCACAGGTTTTTGGTTTGGTTTGTTTGCTTCAATCTCCCGTGAGGGAAGGAGGTCTTGGTCCAATCAGCAGGGGCTGCGGGACTTGAACCTCGCGCCCTACCTTCCGTCTCCCGGAACGATGACATTCCCTGTGATGATAACAGGAAAGATAAACAGGGTGGGGAGGCAGGGAAACTCACGTTGGTGGTAGGGGTGAGAACAATGATCACAGGCCTTCTCCGCCCTCCGGGTTTCCTGACTCCAGGGCTCCGGAAACCTCTGGAAAGGATGGAGAAGCATTCGGATCACAGCAGAGAGCGTAAGGGTAGGAGAGGCAAACAGATCCATTGCAGGGGAGGAGGGTTGTGCTAGGGCTGGATGCGCCCCCAGGGCTGGCCCCCGGGGACACGCATTGTCAGGCCAAGGGCAAGCTGCTGTGGTTCTTGTCATAAGATTGGGGTGACTGCACGTCTGGGAATCTGGAAACTCAGTCTGCTTTTGGGTCTGGAAACAAAATGGGAAGATGGAACAGGAACTGGGAGTTAACAGAGGAGGAGGTCTGTGCGGCTGGGGGCTGGTAGCCCGACTTGTCCTCACCCTTCCTTACGGCCTATCCAACCTTGCCCCCAGGCGCCGTGGAGGTCCAGGTCCCCGAAGACCCCGTGGTGGCCCTGGTGGGCACCGACGCCACCCTGCGCTGCTCCTTCTCACCCGAGCCCGGCTTCAGCCTGGCGCAGCTCAACCTCATCTGGCAGCTGACGGACACCAAGCAGCTGGTGCACAGCTTCGCCGAGGGCCGGGACCAGGGCAGCGCCTATGCCAACCGCACGGCGCTCTTCCCCGACCTGCTGGCTCAGGGCAACGCGTCCCTGAGGCTGCAGCGAGTGCGCGTGGCCGACGAGGGCAGCTTCACCTGCTTTGTGAGCATCCGGGACTTCGGCAGCGCGGCAGTCAGCCTGCAGGTGGCGGGTGAGCGCCGGCAGGGGGCGCCCTCCCCTGGAGACACGCCTCCCTTCCCGCCGCCCCTCACCTCTTGGGCCATCGCTGAGCCCATGCGTAACTCCAGCCCCTTTACTGACCCGTGTTCCTCCAGGTGCCCTTTCCTCTCCTGTGACCCCCTCCCCCGTCCTTGCCTTACCTCGACCTCTGCCCTCTGCCCTCTGCCCCTCTCCAGCTCCCTACTCGAAGCCCAGCATGACCCTGGAGCCCAACAAGGACCTGCGGCCTGGGGACACGGTGACCATCACGTGCTCCAGCTACCGGGGCTACCCGGAGGCCGAGGTGTTCTGGCAGGACGGGCAGGGTGCGCCCCTGGCCGGCAACGTGAACGTGACCACGTCGCAGATGGCCAACGAGCAGGGCTTGTTCGACGTGCGCAGCGTCCTGAGGGTGGTGCTGGGCGCCAACGGCACGTACAGCTGCCTGGTGCGCAACCCCGTGCTGCAGCAGGACGCTCACGGCTCCGTCACCATCACAGGTAGGTAGGGGGCAGGTGAACAGATGGGGGCGGACGGGGGGCGGGGGACGGAGGGAGCCGCTGCCTTTTTTTCTAGACTGAGAGCTGCTGTTTTAGGTAGGTTTGGGTGGTCAGACGCCTTTTGAGAAAACGTTCTCAGACATTTCACCAAGATGTCTCAGACTCTTCACCAAGACGTCCTTAAGGGACTTGCTTTAAGGAGCTGATAAGAGCCAGGTGTAATATTCGCCGTCCTAAGAGCGCCTTAGGTGGTACTTGGGCTTCGTATACGGGGGGAGGCCGTAGCGGCCTGGAACCTGGACGTGTGAGCGGGAGTCCTGAGCAGACACAAGGCGTGGTGAGGCCGTGCTTTTCTACGGGAACCCCGCAGCGCAATGGCAAGTGTTGCGGTGTCCAAGGGCGCCTAATCTGAGGCCCGAGAGACAGCCGGTCTCTCCTCACCCCACCGGCGTCCGCTCTTGTGGACGTGAGCTCTCTACCCAGGCAGCAGTTGCGCGTGGGGGGATCTCTGCTGCCCCCGCGTGGTCAAACACCAGATTGATGCCGCCCACTTGCCGATTCCCTCAATCCGTCGGGGTCTGTTTGGGGTCTGAGCCCCAACACCCTCCCTTCCTGCAGTGCCCACATCAGTGGGTGCTCCTTGTGTCTCGGGGTGTGAAGAGGGGGCCTCCCCCCGTACTCTGGTGTCGGGACAGCAGGTTCTGTCTGCCTATTGTCCTCTTTTCCCTGCCCATGACTTCCACCTGCCGGGTGTTTCCGGAAAGGATAAGAAATAAGTGAAGCTTTCTGAGAAAGGAGGCAGGGGTCAGAATGGGCGGGAGCGGTCGGGAGAGGTCTCCAGGGACAGGCGGGAGTTGAAAGGGTCTTGAAGGATCGGTGAACTTCGTGATAATTTGCACACTGGGCTGAACTGGATATTTGCTACACTGTGCAGAAAGGGTCTATGGGTGTAAATGGAATTGTAGGGAGAATGCTTACCCCACCTAGGAGGGGAAAAAAACACCTTTATGTTAAACTTTAGCAGGTAACCTTGAAAGTGCTTTTATTCCAAAGCCCAGCGAGGAGAGAGAGAACTTTCCAAGTCTACAGACTGGTGCAGTGGCTCTACCTTGAGGGTCCTGCACCTTTTTGATAAACACTATAGTTTGCATTTATGTTTAGAGGGTGTGTGGCCCGTCTCAAGTCACCCATGGGGGCTGTGGCCCTTGGTCCCAGCACCTTGTGGCGAGCAGATGAGCCACCACTAGGATCCAACCTTTAGCCTCTCAGCCTAATTTTCTGTCCTCCCCACCACCCAGCCTCCTGGTTTTGTAAGAGCGGGTCTGGCCTACTTTGGAGCCCTTGGCCTGTATTTCACTACAGGCAGCTCTGTGCCTTGTGAAACATTCTGGGATTCGGACTGTCAGTCCTCCAGCCCGGTCTCCCACACCTGCTGGAGGTTAGTGACATTGAGTGCGCTGTGCGTGGAGGGGCCTTTACGGAGCAAGCACTGGAAACGGAGCCTCAACACCCAGGTCTGAGCCCCGTGCTTTACTGTTTGAACGAGGGCAAGTCTGACCTGTGTTCCAGGCACTGGCACCAGTCAGGGGGTGAACGTGGAGAGAGGTCCTCCCTCCTCCTCAGTATTTCTGTGGCTCGGCACCCTCCTTTGCTGCAGGAGCCCCACCGAGGATGCCGAGGGGAAGTTTCCTTCACGGGCTTCGTGGACTAGCCTTCCTGGCCCCTCACGGCCGCTGCTGCCCTCTCCTCCTCCCCTGGGCAGTGTCCTGAGCGGCAGCTCTGCCAGCCGTGCTGGCTGCAGGGAACATCTGCTGCACATGCCTGTGTCCCTGCCAGGGCCTCTGCGCTGAAGGGCCTCCTGGCACAGCTCTCTGCAACGACAGTGGTTTCCGCAGAACCAGCTGGCCCCCCTGGACGGCTGATGCCCTGGGCCCTCACGGTCTCCAGAGAGCAGAGGAAAGCAGCTCTGTCTTTTGTTAGATTTGATGTCCCCAGGGCTTCTGTCCAGGACACAGCATGGGCCCAGGGCCCGGGGCCAATGGTGAGCGTGCTCAAACAGCCTCTGGGGCTGATCCAGGTGCGGGCGCCTCCGGCCCTTCCCTCTGCTGCGTCCCGGCAACATTCCCCTGGCAAGTCTCCTCCTCTTGGGTAAACCCAGAACCCTCGCTGAGGCGCCCTCAGTTCCCACCCCCATCTACGCGCTGGGGCTCCCCCCCCACTTTCGATAAAGGGCTGGATAGTAAATATTTCCGGCTTTTGTGGGCCACGTGCAATCTCTGTTGCTGCGGCTGTTTCTCCTTCCCCTTCTGCTCCTCCTGTTTCTTTTTCGGTAACCCTTAGCAAATATGAAAACTATTATTAGCCCGCAGCCTGTACAAAAACAGACCACAGGCCATATCTGGCTCGCAGACCACGATTTGCCGACGCCGGATCCGTAGGATGGTGGATATCGCCGGGTGGGGTTGGAACAGTCAGGGAGGGCCTCCTGTGGAGGGGAATCTTAAACTACGTGAGAGTTTGGGAGCGCTTTTTAAGGTAGGGGAACCTGACAGCAATGGTGTGGAGGCTGGAAGGAACCAGTTGTGTGTGCAGAGAATGATCAGGACACCAGCATGGCTATGTTCCTGGAGTGGAGTTGGAAAGAGAGGCTGGGGGAAGGTAAGCGGCAGCCATGTGATGGAGGCCCTCCAGAAGGCTGAAGCATTATTCAAATGTCAGTGGAGAGCCACTAGGTGAAGGTTCTAGAGCATCATCAACTTCAGACTCTTTGACCTTGCCAGGTTGAGGCATGTGGACGCCAGCCATGGCCGTGTCAGGGTTTGGATGTGTCCCAGTGTGGGGGGAAGGGGTGTGGGGACTGAAGGGAGCTCTCTTCATAGCATTGGAGCCCAGCAAGGGTGGGGGCTCCCTGTTCATACCTTGTGGCCCATGGTGTGCTGTCCTCCAGGCCATGGGTGCTGGACGTGACAGTCTCTTCCCGTTCTCCCCCCCACCCCTCCCAGGGCAGCCCATGACATTCCCTCCCGAGGCCCTGTGGGTGACCGTGGGGCTGTCTGTCTGTCTTGTCGCTCTGCTGGTGGCCCTGGCCTTCGTGTGCTGGAGAAAGATCAAACAGAGCTGTGAGGAGGAGAACGCAGGTGAGCAAGAGAAGGTGTGCACACGCGCACACACTTGTCTTGGGGTGTGTGGATTTGTCTATGACATCAACATGTGGGGCGCTTCCTAGTGACAGAATGAGCATGAGTGTGCCCATGGGGTCTGACTGTGTGCATGTGACCTTGAGGCTGGATATGTCTTGTGTGTGGCAACAGATGCGAGCCTGCCTATCAGTGCGGGAATCCACACTGGTGAGCAGAGGGGGGAGGTGGGGTCGATGCCAGCAGGTGGTATGTGGGTACGCAAAGGCTTCCGGGGCAGACTTGAATGTCGATGGTGAGAGGTGGGAGCTGGCCAGGCGTTGGGAGGGAGGGTGCCTATGTGGAGGAGAAGGGACAGACGGGTGGTGCTTGTGTTGGAGGCTGGTGGTGGACGGGCTTGGTGAGTGAGTGGATGGGTGAGTAATGGGGTCGGGTGGAGGGGTGAGAAGAAGGTGCTTGGCTTGGTGAGTGGTGGGCTCTGCTCTGTGCTGGCCTCAGGCTTCCGTCCTGTGTCCACCATCCGGATCACAGGTCAGGCCGACTCAGCCCACCTCCCTCCCTCCCACACTCTCACATGGGGAGGTGCAGTAATCGCAGTGGGTTTTTTGTTTTTTTGTTCACCGAGTCCTTGTCTTCCAGGTGCTGAGGACCAGGACGGGGATGGAGAAGGATCCAAAACGGGTGAGTCTGAGCTCAGAGCTGGCCTCATTGGCTGCGGGAAGGACACAGGAACGGGGTGAGGACGCTAGGATCTGGAGGAGCCACATTCGCTTGAGGTTTGAGTGAAGTGTGTCCCGTGGACCGTGGCCCCCTAGCCGGGTGAGTCTGGTATTTGCTTAGCATTAGGCCTCGATCTGGGTTTCCCTGGACTCCCTCTCGGGGGCGGCTTCATCTTTCCTGCCTACCTTACCTTTCTCCCAGGGCCAGCTCCATGCTCAGTAGCCCTGTGCCTGCACCGTGGGGTCTGGTGGCCTCCTAGTTGCAGAGTGAGGACTCAGGAGACAGGGCATCCTGGGTTGAAGCTCCAGCTCCAGCTCGTAGGCTCAGTGGCCTTGAGCCAGTTGCTTTGCTTTTCTGGGCCTCTATGTCTTCATCTTTGAGTCTTGGCTTCCTCCTAGTAACTGCCTCCCTTCATAGGTCCTGTGGGCTAAATTAAGTGAGATGAGTTAATAAAGGGCCTTATAAAGGGCCTAGTACCACACCTGGTGCCTGCGACGGTCTCTTGGAGTCATGTTAGTGGCCAAACAGTTGAAGACCGTCCCATTCTGGTTACAGGCTGTGTGACTTCGGGCAAAGTGCTTTGGTGCTCTGGGCTTCAGTTTCCCACCTGTAAAGTGTTATCCTGCCCCTGCCTCAATGGCACCAGAGGGCTGTTCTGAAGCTCTTTCAAGTGATTAGATACACAGGTGGTTTACAAAGGGTATGGGGCTTTGGGGACACAAACCTGGAGCCCAGCTTGGGGCAGGTGCGGAGGCACTAGTGTTTCGTGGCCCCCCGAGGCCTCACTGTGCTCTCCTATGGGGCTCCTGGGCTGGGAGGGGTAGGTTCCCATTTGGGAGGGTGCCAGTTGACACTGGTCCCCTCCCCACCCCCACGGAAGGAAGAGCAGGAGACTGACACCTGGGGACTGCCGTAAATTATGCCAATTAATTCTCAGCCTTTGGTGTGGAGACAGCCCTGGGATCAGGCCTCGTTTTTCTTGCTCAGAGGCAGAGGTAGTTGACAGAAGGAGGGGGTGGGGAGAAGAGGGTGGCCTAGAGATTTGTCCAGTGTCAGATTTGCATGACCCCAGGCCCACCTGGGGATGTCTGCAGCCTCCTCCTGTAGCCCCTTACTTGGCCCTTATTTGCAGAGCAAACTCCTTCCCCGTCTCTAGCTCACAGGAGGGCCGGGTAGCTGTTCCCATTGTATAGATGGAGAAAACAGAGGCCCAGAGACAGGAGTGACCGGCTACAGAGCGGAGCCAGGACTTGGGACAGCAGCCTCAGGCCCCTTCCCTGGTGCTGGGCCATTGCCCTCATCCTCCCAGCCTCTTCCAATCCATCCAGGCCTCCTTTCTTCCCCGGCTCCCTCTGTCAGACCCCTTCCCCCGCCCCTTCCTGTGGTCCCCCCATCACCATGTGCTCCTTCCTTTGTTGCAGCCCTGCGGCCTCTGAAACACTCTGAAAGCAAAGAAGGTAAAGACACGTGGTGCTTGAGATCATGGGTCTGTGTGTTCGCGCGTCTGTGTGCAGGAGGCTGGGGAGGGTCCCTGGTGGTGAGGGGTGGTGATCACCTGTTCACTGGTGACCTGAGACTCCCTCCCTGGGAGAGCAGCCTGACTCCCCACTGGTGGAGAGGAACCAAGGTCTCAGCTGCTCTAATACGATGCAGATACGACAGAGGCTTCACAACGACGCGAATTTATGTCTCTCTCCTGTAACAGTCTAAGCATAGGTGATCTTAAGGCCACTGATGTCCTGGAGCTAGGTTCCATTTATTGGTGTCTGCTCCCTTCTGCTCAGAGCTTCTACCCTGGTCCTGGGCAGCTACTCCAGCTTCTGTGCAGGCCCCCCCCCCCCCCCCCCCCCCCCCCCCCCCCGCCCAGAAGGGGAAAGAGGAAAGGGAGGAACATTTTCTTCCTAGGGCTTGACTAGAAATACCTCCTATTTACATCCATCGATCAGACCTAGTCACATGACGCCTACCTAGCACAAGAGAGGCTAGGAAATACGGTTTTCAGCTCGGCAGCCATGTTCCCGCTACATGGTAGGTGGTTAATAAATGTTAACAATCATAGTTATTCATATTAGACAACATCAGCGGTTACTTTAAGAAGGGGTTGGTGAGAAGGTTGAGATTCATCCTTATGGAGAGTAACCAACAGCGACATCTGAGTGTGTTTGTCTGGAGACACACGTGTATCTGTTGTGTGTGTCATTTGAAGAAAACGTTCCTTGATGCAGTATTGCCGTTAGACGTGAATGGCTTCCGCCTAAAAATCAAAGTTGGTTGCCAGTGGTTAAGGAAACTTAAGCCTCTTTACGGCTTCCTTGGCATCCCTGTCAGGAAATAAACTTTCACTGAGCTCTTGGAGGCTCACCTCTGCATTTAGAGGAGAAGGGAAGGACATAGGCCCTGTCTTCCGAAAACTTCCAGAGGCAGGGGGGCAATGGGGCCCTCAGAAACCTGCACAAAATACATGACACACAAGGGCCGTAGACTCAGACTTTTACGAAAGGCAGTAAGAGGTGTTTAGGAAGGCAGCCCTGTGCAGAAGAAAGAGGCCCCTGGGTTGGGAGGGGAAACCTTGGGTCTAGTCTCTGCCTTTGACCTTCCTGTAAGTATCCTCATCTGTAGAATGTGCCCCCACTTACAAGATGGTTGTGAGGATTAGGTAAGGTGACAAATGCAGAAGTGCTCTGCAAAGCAGGTCTTTTAAATGCTGTAGAATGTTCCATGGCAGTAATGGAGACCTATGTTGAGGTATGGAAGGATGGAGATAAGTTATCTGCCTCCCTGTTGTTCTGAACCAAATGAGGCATAGAAGGATTGAGCAGATGGAGATGAAAATGTCAGCTTTGTTCCAGAAGACAGCTGCAGTGTGGCCCGGGTGTGGGGTACAGCGTGGCAGCCTGGCCCCCCAGTCTCTGGTCATGCTGGGTGAGCACAGAGGCAGTACCCAGAAGGGAACGCTACTTCCCTGGGACACACAGAGCCCAAAGGATGGCAGAGGGAGCAGTAGGGGCACACATGCCCTGGTCCTCCTTCTAAGCTCTCCATTCAGGTCAGGGGTGGGGCAAAGCCAAGGGTGTGAGTCCACTGGGTGCCCCCCACGTAGAGACCAGAGCCGGAGGGAGGGAGGTTCCACACAGCGCTGCCCTTGGGGAATTCTACACAGAGGGGGAGGTGGGAAGGACTTCTTTCTAGTGGAGGAGAGGGTACGATGGCGGAGGATAGAAGTGGGGAGGTTGTAGATGACAAGGGTGCCAGGGAGAGGGGACAGTGGATGGGAGGGGTGTGGAGCGGGTGGACTGGTGAGGATTAGGCAGCCTCCCTCAGGTACACCAAGGTCTGTCGGAGGCTCAGCTCCTGTGTTGGCATCTGTCTGGGCCTCCAGGGCAGCGCTTAGCGCAGGGAGCCGCTGGTCAGACTGTGGCGGCCACTCGCAGACACACCCTGCCCCTGGAAGTGTGTGACCATGTGCCTGGGGCTCTCGTGCATGCCCAAGAGTAGATCCTGCACTTAATGCCTTTTCCCCTGTGTTTTCTTTCCATCGTGAAATGTAGATGATGGACAAGAAATAGCCTGACCGCGAGCACCAAGGAGCTGCCGCCTCCACCTGGGGGCTCCCACCTCTGGCCCCACTGGAGCCTCAGTGTGAGCCCTGCCTCCGACAGGTGCCTCCACTCTGGCAGGTCCTGCTCGTTCTCCAAAGGACAGAGAGACCACCCCGCAGCCTTACTTCTCCGATGGACGTGATTCCCAAGTCATCCTGCTGCCTTATTTCTCCCATGACATGATACGTAAATCATCGTACTGTCATTTCTTACGGACACGATACAAAGACCACCCCACCACCTTATCTCTCCAACGGCTATGCTGCACGGACCATCTGGCTGCCTTTATGCCCCAAAGGACTCAATATTCAGACGGATCCTCTGCCTTATTTCTCCAAAGACAGGATACACAGTCACCCCGGCCTTGTTTCTCCAGTGGCCCCGATATGCTAGTTATCATTTCTCAGCCTTTTCTTCTGCCCACCTGTAAGCCCATCTGCTCAGACAGGGGCACTGCACCCTCAGCATCACCTCGGGTCCAGAGACGTCTCTCCTCCTGCCTGCTCCTCCTCTGGCCCCAGCGTTGGCCTTTCCCCTCCCTCTCAGAGTGAAGGCAGGGCCCTTCCCCCAGGCCTTTGGAGGCACACAGGTGCATGTGCTGGGTCACGTGCTGGGACACGTACCGACCTCCCTTAGCCCAGTCTCTTCCCTGGTGCCCTGGGCTGTGCCCCGTGAGCCCCCTCCCCATGGGAAACATGTGCTGGTCACACTGGGTCTCTGGGTGTCTGCGTGGGCCCCCTGGGGGTCAGCTGTCCCTCTGCTTTCCCTTCCTTTCCTTTGGTTCATCCATTCTAGCCATGGTCATTGAGCATCCGTGGGGTGTCAGCACTGTGTTAGGGACCTGGGACCCAGCGTGAGAGGACAGGCCCCTCCTCTAAGGAGCTTGCCCTTCAGCTGGGGAGCTGTCAGGAAATCTGCAACTGCCTGCTACGTAAGGGGGCTCCTGCCTTGCTCTCTACTGTACCCCTTTCTGTGCCCACAGCTCTCTGTATACCTCACTCCCACTCCCTCCCTAATCCTCACCCAGAGCAAGGGGTGTGGGCAGAAACCTGGAGAGAGGGGTAGAAATGATGGGTTCCAAAGTCTTTCCAGGCATGGGCAGGTTGGCCGGCGGCCCGTGGCGCTCTGGACCCCGCAGAGCAGAAGCATAAGTGAAGCCTGGGGACGAGGCAAGGGGGCTGCAGGGACAGAGCCCCTCACCCCCCACCCCCACCCCACCACGGTGCTATTCTGGGGCTGGGAAGACATTCTCTTGGCTTGTCTTTCGTTGGCCTCCAGCCTCCGGAAAACTTCTGATGTCCTCCCGGTGACATTTCTTCCTTCCCCAGGAATGGAAGAGGTGGCACGTCTAATTTAAATGTGGGACTCTGAGGAATTTTGTTAACTGGGGGCGTATTTTGGGAAAAATAAATGGCTTTGTAGAAAGCGTTTTCTCCGAGAAGGGTGTGGAAGCAGGTTGTGCAGCAGAACTCGGTAGGAAGGATTCCCTCCTGGACATTTGAGGCCAGAGTGGGGATGCCTGCACCTCCTCCCTTTTGCTCTCCTTAAATCTCTGGATCTCTGCCACTGCGCAGCCCCTCCCTGCCCTTGGTTTCCTTCTTGGTAAAGAAGTTTGTGGTCCAGAAAACGAAGATCTCCGTCAGTGTATGGGGCTCCTCCCACTTCTGGAAGCACCACCTAATTTCTTTATCTCCAAAGACTCAGCTCTTGGGCTTGTTTAGGGCCACCTCTGGTGTGCCCATTTTACAGATGTGGAAGCTGAGACCCAGTAAGAAGCTGATGCCAGGGAAGGAGCTCTGCATGCTGTCGTTGGCTGGCCCCGTGGAATGGGCACCAGACTTGAATCAGAGATCCAGGTCCAGGACCTCATTTTCCCCTGTGACCCTGAGCAGGGAATTTAGCTTCTCCAGACCTTACGTTTCTTACATGAAAAAATAGGCCTGAGGATTTCACCATCTTCCACCTCCAAAGACTGAGAAGAGAGGCAGCAACCAGGTTCAGGGATGTGGGAGCCTACCAGGCATACTGTGCCCATCTGCCCCTGGGTGACAGGGTCTTAGCCCCTGGCCAGCCAGTCATTCCCAGAGCCCCACGGCCCCTGGGGCGGCTGGAGGAGCCTGGGCTGGAGGTCAGGACACTTAACTTTTGGCCGCAGGCCCCCTACTGACTTGTGACAAAGACCTTCATACCTCTGAACCTTAGTTTCCTTACCTAGGAAGCAGGGTGCTGACTCCTCCCCTGAAATGCACTCGGCATTCTTTACCAACCAGAGCGCCTATGATGAAGTCCAAGGCCCTAGCAGTGAGACAGGTCTCCTTGCTTGAAGTCCCACTGCTGGTTCTTGGGGAATGTTTTAGAACCCAAAGACTTGTACCAGGGCTCTGCCTTTGCCCCTTACTCCCTCCTGCACCCTTGAGCGTGTTGCTCACCTCACTAGGCTAAACTCCACCTGCAAAGTGGGGGCGATTCTAGCTCTTGTTTCACGGGATCTGAGAGTTGGACAAGACAATGGGTGAGAAGACACTGCCCGCTATAAAGTGCTGGTTGCATGTGAGGGATTATTTTCCTTCCCTGGGGCTGGGGCTGGAGGCGCTCACTCCCTGGGTGGTTTTGTAGATGCGGCACAGGGACCTCAGTTTGCTCATCTGTGAAATAGGCATGGTAACCAATGCTGCTGGTTTCTGACAGGGGCAGGGTAACCCTCAGACACTGGATCAAGTGCTTGCAGGAGGGACCCTGCAGGTGTGGGGCGTTCCTGGAGGCTGCGGGGTGGGGAAGGTGGCCACTAAGTCCCCTGTGATAAGTGCCCCCAGAGAGCAGTATTTTTAGCTGCCTTCCTGGGCAAAGCTCCAACTTCTGCATTTTAATGGAGAAATAATTCTCACAGTGCGACAAGCTGTAGCCTGCAGGTGTCACATCCATATTAAAGAGGGGACGGAGCAAGGGTTCACTTGCCTGGCTGGAGGTGTGACCGGAACACACCTCCAGGAGCATCTGTAAGCGGGGCTATGAAGACCAATTAGTGGCTCTGATCACTCAGAGGGAGGAGACCTGGTGGGTGGTGAAAGTAGCATGGCTGGGGGGGCCCTGAGTCATCCTGCCTTTCTCTACCTGATTGTTTCCTCTTTCACAGCACTCTGCTTCTGCTCACAGGCAGGAATCATGCCTTCCAGGGTCTGTACAGGGGGAGCACCTGACCTGGCCTGTCCCAGGAGGCCGTTGCTGAGTACGTTGGCCAATGAGCAGAGACCCTGGCAGCTTCTGAACTGGGCAGTGTCCCAAGGTCCTCCTGCAAAGCCCAAGTCTTAAATGGAAACATGAGGCCAAAATTTGCCCCAAGTAGTGGAAACCCAGGCCTCCAAGGGCAGGGGGATCCTAGGGAAGCAGGAGCCAAGGAAAGCGTGAAGTAATGTGCCACATCATGAGGCAGGGCAGCCGATTAAACGTTATAAATGAGGATAGTGTTGTGTTAAATAAGCAAGCAAACAAAAACAAAACTCCCCAGGCCCCAAATGGCATCACTTTTAGGCCAAATCCTTAAACCAGGACTTAATACACAATCTAATTGCACTTTGGACCTCCCCCAGAAATACAGTCTTAGTAGGGATTTTCTGCATCTTAGTAGTTGACTTAGTAGTCAATGAATCTACCACGTGGGCCCTCTCCGTCCCCCAAAGGAAGATGAGGTCATCTGTATGCTAAGACCCCTCACTTTTCCCGCTGCCCTACCCTGCCCAGAGAGAGCAGCCTTGCCTGGAACCATCCTTTTCTCCAAAACTTCCTTGCCCCACCCTCCTGTAAAAACTTCCCATGTTGTACAAGCTTCTGGGAGCTTCCCTCTACTGATTAGATGGCCTGAATCCTCTAGGAAAGCCAGTTAGATCTTCAGATGCACTTGGTTGAATTTCCTTATTTAACAACAGAAATGTGTAGAGTGGTTGTCTTCACCTCCAGTCCCCCCACTCAGAAGGAAGCATTATTTATTTTTTATTTTTATTTTTTATTTATAGTTTATTGTCAAGTTGATTTCCATATAACACCCAGTGCTCATCCCAACAAGTGCCCTCTTCCATGCCCATTCCCCGTTTCCTCCTCTCCCCCACCCCCATCAACCCTCAGTTTGTTCTCAGTATTTAAGAGTCTCTTATGGTTTGCCTTCACCCTTCTCCTTAACTGTTTTCCCCCTTCCCCTCCCCTATGGTCCTCTCTTAAGTTTCTCCTGATCCACTTATGAGTGAAAACATATGGTATCTGTCCTCTGCCTGACTTATTTCACTTAGCATAACACCCTCGAGTTCCGTCCAGGTTGCTACACATGGCCAGATTTCATCCTTTCTCATTGCCATGTAGTATTCCATCATATACATAAACCACATCTTGATCCATTCATCAGTTGATGGACACTTAGGCTCTTTCCATGTTTTGGCTATTGTTGAGAGTGCTGCTATGAACATTGGGGTACATGTGCTCCTTTGCATCAGCACTCCTGTATCCCTTGGGTAAATTCCTAGCAGTGCTATTGCTGGGTCATAGGGGTGTTCTACTGTTAATTTTTTTGAGGAACCTCCACACTGTTTAGAGGGAAGCATTATTAAGCGTTTGCTATCCTTCTAGTCTTTTCCCTAGGCTAACACCTCTAGAAAACCACCATCTGTATTGTCCTACAATGTGTTTTCTGTTTTCATTACCATCCCCCCCCCCACTCTAGTTCTTCTTTCTCTTTACTTTTTATATTGAGGTGTAACATGCATCTAGTGTTTAAACGATGCTGGTCCTCAATGTATGGCTTCCTGGAATTTTACACATTTACCCAGATCCAGATATAAAACACTTTCAGAATCTAGAAAGTTCCCTCGTGCCTTTTCCCACTCAGTGGCCCCAACTGCAGCTATTATTCTGGCTGCTTTCACCATGGGTTGATTTTGCTTATCCTTGAACCTCATGTAAATGGAATCCTACAGTACACACTATTTTGTGTCTAGCTTCTTGCAAAGACCTCCCTCATTCTCTCTGAATGGCTACATAGTATCTCATCGTACTGCTGTTCTAAAATATATTGTGCCAGTTCCTATTGTTTGGATACAAATACTACAAGTTTGTGCTTGACGTTCTGTAATATGGAGCCCCCAGAGGTGAGATCTCAGGGTCCTAGGCCTGTATATTTTAAATGTTGGTATAGTTGCCGATTGTTTTGACAGCCTGTTTAAACTGGTCCCTCTGGCAGCAAGAATGAGCAAGCAAAGAACACTTAGGCCTGCAGCAGAATGGATTCTACATAGGGCAGGCAGGGTGATGGGAATTCCCAGGTGGGCTTAAAGGGACCTCAGCGATGGAGCCCTACTCAGGAGTACGTGGG